AATGTTATTAAGAAAATCATAAGGAAGAGAAAAATACATTTACAGTACTGTTACTGTATTTATAAAAAAAAAATCCCTACATGTGGACCCACACAGTTCAAACTCATGTTGTTCAAGAGTCAACTGTACTTGTATTTTAATATCCCCAAGGCAAAAAGAAAGGAAGGATTAAAAGAAGTCCGAGAGAATCTCAGAAATGCTCATGGAGAAAGTGCATTTTAAATGAGAGCCTCTCATTTTGGCTTAGTAGGGTTATTTCATGACGCAATTGCAAATCAATCACCTAATAGTATAGGCAAAAACTTCTGGTCTTTAGCCACTTTGTGACTCTGCAAATCTGTGCCTCCAACTGATTGCAAATGCAGAGCTCTGGCTGGAGTTCTTTTAAAATCTTGACTTATTGTCAAAGCACTAAGCAATGTTCTGGTAAATCATATGTTTAATTTTAATTCCACTTCAGAAGGCTGAGATTTTATTGCTGACTTTCTAAACAATATAGAGCAGTGTAATTAGTTGGGATAGGCTAGGCTGAGGTAACAAAAAGACTGAGAAGTACATAATTTCTCAAACCCAGCAGAGTCCACTTTTTACTTATAGTCTGAGAAGACTACCATGGACAACAAGCAACATTTCTCTCTGGGGCAATTCAAGGTCCCAACTCTTTCCATCTTGGGTCTCTGCCATTCTCCATGGTCTCACAGTTGCCTGCCCCCGAACAACAGATGAGGGAAAAGCAAGTCAAGGAGGAACATGTCCTTAAGGCTGTGGCCTGGGGAAGGCACACATCCCTTCTGCCAACATTCCACAGGCCAAAATTGGGTCAAAGAGCCATACCTAAACCAAAAGAGTTTGGGAAATGAATGTGTGGTGAATGTGTGTGGTGTGTGGTGAGGGCAACAGAAAAGGATGAAAAGGTTGCTGGTGAACAGTGAACAATTTCTGCCACAGGCAAGTCAACTCATCTTGGGCCTCCCGAAACCTTCATTTACAAATGGGTAACAATTCGTTACAACCACAGAACAATCTGGAGAGTTTGTGAGTATGTATACCTATAAAGCACTCCGTGTTCCATGGAACACTGTGTATCAGTTGTGAATATACCCCGGCTATATTATTGTTAGTTTGAAACATTACACTGGATTAAGTAACTAAATGATGTAGAACTTTCCACCAAAGAACATTATCAAGAAAGCTGTTAGATGCAATTAACAGATGAACTAAATAGTGTGCTGATCCCATGTTCTTTTATTCTAATTATGTTACCCCATATAGAGCCACTTTCTTTCTTCCTGATTGAAAGCATTATTCTGTTCCAGAAATGACAGATTAAACTAATTCACAAATCTGAAATGTAACTCTAGAAAGCATCTAGACCCTTTAAAAATACTTTCATAAAGGGACATTTTAAAATACAGAGGTCTCAGACCTTTCTGGAGAAACTGAAGAGAAAAACTACCATACAAAGCATCTGGGAAGCACCAGGTGATGGAATGTATAGTAAACCCACAACCTTTTGCATATCAACCATGTAAAATAAATATCGGTGGCGAAACAGCAGCATAAGGAGAACAAGTTTCACTCATGCGTAGGCAGTGTAATTTACGAGTGTGCCAGACAGAATGGTAGCAAGATACGTGATCTACCTGGAAGCCAAAGTGAGAAGATGTTAATCCAGCTCTGCAAGTGAATCATTTTGTGACTTTAGGAAAATTATTTAGCTTGGTTTCTCTGCCTAAAGAGGCAAATGGTAAGCAGATACTTCTAGAATACTTTCTAGAGAAAGGAAGAGGAAGGAGAAGAGATGGGAGACAGATAGATGGAAAAAAGCGGACATGGGAAAAGGGGCCAGACTGAGAATGTCCCCCATTGTTCTGAGCTATACTAAACACAGTATGTTTGCTTCAGGAAGCCTCCAGCCTAAGAATCAAAATATAGGAATACAAGAAAACCAGGCATCATTATATTTGTCCAGCACTTATGAGAAACAAATGCTTTCTTAGATGTGGATTGGAAACAACCATTTCTTCTCTCAGGTTTATGTGATAAAGAGAATACCCTGATCTTCCAATTAATCCAGCAAACATGTATTGGGCCTTGTCTCTGTGCCACAGATGTGTGATGAAGAAGACAGACATGGGTCCTGCTTCATAGAGCTGATGATACAGACACAACAGAAGTAAATAAAATAATTACCACTTGCAGATGAGTGCTATGAACACGAGGAAATGAGCCATAAGGATATCCCAGGGATATCAGAGAGAAGAATGTTCCAGAAAGGGAGAATGACAAGCGCAAAGGCCCTGAGGCAAGATTCATTTGGCACATGTACAGGAATAGAAAGGAGGCCAATGGGCTGGGGTGGAATCATTGAAAGGGCAATTCATAGAAAGTGGTCATAGGCAGAAAGCTAGCCAAGCCAAATACAAGGAAAAATCAGGCCTCAAAGTAAATGAGAAAGAGTTTCAGTTCCAAAAGATTCACATTCTCTTTAATAGATCTTGAGAGCTGTACAGGTATCACAGTCAACATTAACATGTTTTGGGCCACATGAACATACATTTTAAAGCAATTTCCTACTCTGAATATGAAACCTCCCTAAAATAGCTTGCTTTTTTTCATGAATCTAGCCCTGTTCAATCAAAAATAAAAAATATAAAGGAAATGTCTTAGATTTTGGTAAATCTATGTAAGAAAAAAATGAATGAATAAGTCCTGGGGATATAACATATAGCCTGATGACTACGGCTAATAATAGCAATGCATATTTGAAAGCAGCTAGGAGAGTGGATCTTGAAAATTTACCAAAAGAAAAAAATTTTTTTGTAACTATGTACGTTGACAGATGTTAGCTGGACTGTTGTTTGATCACTTTGCAATATATAGAAATACCACATCATTATACTGTACACCTGAAACTAATATAGTGTTCTATGTCAGGTATACCTTAATAAAATAATAATTTTTAAAAGAAGAAAAGACTACTTTCTTTAATTTCAGGTGTGCCTTTGAATTTTATTTCAAGGGCTTGTATTCTGTATTCAAACAATACATAACTTTTTAAATTAGAGTACAGATTTTTAAACATTGGATTGAAAGTAGGTGGAGGGGAGTAAGTCTAGTCCTCAAGGATGCAGAAAGGTAGCCCTGGTGTAGAGGAAAGAGGGGAAGGAAGGAGTCTCTAGACTCTAATACTAGATCCCCTCGCCCCCCACCGCACCCCCGCTCCCACCCCCGGACTCGTATGGAACTCTGAGCCCCCCAGCTTCAATTAAACCATCCATCAAATGAGGATGACCACACTTCCCCTACCTCACCATTAGACTGTAACGTGAAAGAGAGCCCTTGCCTTTCTTCTCTGATCCATTCCTACTCATCCCTAAAGGTTCAATAAACACTTAACCCACAGCACCTGAAGGGCTTACCTCATCTGCATTCATACACGCTCCTTACCTGATACTGCAAAGAATATAAGGCATTATATTCTTTCCATTAGCCAACGGCCCTGGGATGTAAAAATCATAAACAATACAAATATGACGGGGTTCCCCTCCTCTTTTTTTTTTTTTTTCCCTTTCAAAAAAAGTCGATTCCAGGGGCGCCTGGGTGGCTCAGTGGGTTAAAGCCTCTGCCTTCGGCTCAGGTCATGATCCCAGGGTCCCGGAATCGAGCCCCGCATCAGGCTCTCTGCTCAGCGGGGAGCCTGCTTCCTCCTCTCTCTCTGCCTGCCTCTCTGCCTACTTGTGATCTCTGTCCGCCAAAAAAATAAAAAAATCTTAATAAAAAAAAAAACAATAAAAAAAAAAAATTCGATTCTGGGGTACCGGGTGGCTCAGTTGGTTAAGCCTCTGCTTTCGGCTCAGGTCATGATCCCAGGGTCCCGGAATCGAGTCCCGCATCCGGCTCCCTGCTCAGCAGAGAGCCTGCTTCCCCCTCTTCTTCTCCCTGCCGCTCTGCTTACTTGCGCTATTTCTCTGTCAAATAAAATCTTAAAAAAAAAAAAAAATCAACTCCATGGGAGTATCTTTTCCGCCTGAGAAAATGTTCTTTGAACAAGTGGAGAGCGGTGAACAGAGTCCCCTAGAGTCCCCTTGTTTCACTCTTGGGCGGGTACCTGGTGCTTTAAAAAACGTGTTACGGGGCACCTGGGTGGCTCAGGGGGTTAAGCCGCTGCCTTCGGCTCAGGTCATGGTCTCAGGGTCCTGGAATCGAGTACCGCGTCGGACTGTCTGCTCAGCAGGGAACCTGCTTCCCTCTCTCTCTCTCTCTGCCTGCCTCTCCATCTACTTGTGATCTCTCTCTGTCAAATAAATAAATAAATAAAATCTTCAAAAAACAAAAAACAAAAAACGTGTTACAAGGCTTCAGGCGCGTCTGCTCGGAGAACGAGCAGTTGAAAGCTTTCACCGCGGCGCGACGAACGCGCCTCCGCGGGCTCGAGCCAAGCCTGGGTGGAAGGACTTACACGAGCTTCAGACGAGGAAAGCGAAGAGCAACAGTGGCGAGCACAGGACACGCCTGTGCACGTACGGGAGGGCTACTTTGGCTTTTTTCCAAGATGTTCCTTCAAGGAAAAAAAAAAAAAAATGCTGACAGCGGCGATCTAGTGAGACCGGAGATCTGGGGTGACTATCAGGGTGCTGCCCCTCCCTGCTTCTCTGTGCTCTCCCCACGACCGTGGAGTCCCGCACAGCCACAGCGGGCTTTTTCATCGTGCGGCCCCGCGGCGGTCTGCTGCCTCGTCCGGCAGGAGCCCGGTGAAGGCTCGCGGTCAGGACATTTTTTACCCGGAGTACAGGAAACTCCTGAGCCCCCGCCTGCCAGCTGGGTCACTGACTGACTCCAACCCCACACTCTGGACCGTCACGAGCCTAACGCTCCCGGAACCCCGCACCCGGGGGCGTGGACGCAGCGGAGCACAATAGTTGTTGTACCCCCCCCCCCCCCCCCCCCCCACCTCCACGCCGCGAGGCCCGGCCGAGAGGCGGAAGTTGAACGTGCTGACGCTACTGGGGGAATTTTGCCTCGATGGCACCTTCCTGTCCGGGGCTCCGCCTCCGCCGGAGGGGCTCGGCTCCGGAATTCAAGATGGAGTCGCTGAGTAGAGCTGGCCAGGAGATGAGCTTAGCGGCCCTGAAACAGCACGACCCCTACATCACCAGCATCGCAGACCTCACGGGCCAGGTCGCTCTGTACACCTTCTGCCCCAAGGCCAACCAGTGGGTGAGTGCGGCCAGGCCGCGGAGGCCGTCCGGCCGGCCGCCGCCTCTTAAAGTGGCAGCGCGGACCGTCCTGGGTTGGGGGCGATTCGGGAGGCCAGGGCGGCAGCGGGGAGGCCAGGAACTGGAGAAGAGACTGGCCGGTCCCTGAAGGGTGTCAGGGGCGCCGGGAATTGGGGAGAAGAGCGAGAGAAGTAGGCCCAGGACGTCTGGGGGGAAAGCCGATAGAAGGAAGGATTGGAGGAGGATCAGTCCCTTGGGGTTGGGTCCGGAGACCTGGGCGATATGCCTTTTTTGCAGACGTGTTGGTGGACGAGAACGGTGGGAGTCCGAAAGGCACCCGAAAGATTGTGTTTGAAGATGTGAGGGGTGTTAGATAAACTACATATACATAATCCATAAAAGTAAATACCGTCCTCTCCCCCCACCAGGCACGTAAATAAGAGCCCCCTTCATAGAGGTCATTTGGATTTAAAGCTTGAAATCCAATTAGTTTCAAATCTTGGAAGAAGGGTGGTGGGGATAAATCCGGCTTTTATTGAACTACACTGTATTCGAGAGTTTTGGAAAAGATTTCAAGGCACTTAGGGAAAGGGCTTCCATGTTAATTGGATTCCCTTGAAATCTTTGGAAAAGAGACCCTGTAAATGTGTTTCGTTCCAGCTGTGCTGCTGGTGATGTCACCTCTGAATCCTCCCTCCGGAATAAGTACTTTTTGGGTTTTTTGGTTTTGGGTTTTTTTTTTGCGAGGGAGGGGGTCCGAAAAGTTACATAGGGTTTGTTCTCTGACTTGTTGGCCCCTGATTAAAAGTAACATAATTTCCAGTTTTCTAGTAATTAACCCTCCATAATTTATTCATTCAGCTCTAGGCTTTACTTTTGGCAAATAATCCGTGAATATTTGGTGGCTTGAGTTCATAAATGAGTAACACTCACATGTCAGTAAAAAAATGAAATCCTTATACTAACAAAACTTTGAAAGATTATTGTAATACATTCTTTACGGTATAAAACAGATACATAGATTATATTTAGACAGTAATTCTGTGAAAATCATTTGATGTTTATAAACAATTCAGATGACAGCTTTCAGAATCCTCTTGCCTTATCTTCTTTCCCCTCCTGGAAGAGAAGGAGGTTTGGAAAGCCACAAAGAACAAAATTAGAGATTTTTTTCTTTTAAGTGTAGCTGTTTTAGATATTGCCTTAGTTTGAATTGTTCAGAATCATTTTTCTTTATTTGGTCTGCCTATAAATTGGTGAGATATGAATTACAGACAAATGGTGAAGACTTAGGAGCAGGAACTTTGGACTAACAGACTTTTAATTCTAGTTTTCCACAGACTTTCAGTATTGTTGAATTTAAATTGTAGAGTCCTGCTTTAAATTTGAAATACTAGTTATAATAATCTGAATTGAAAAATAAGCTGCCATTTTTTGTTCATTTGGATAATGGCACATAGTGCAAAACCTAAATCTTTTGTGTCTTTATTTTACAGTGAGTTGTAACTTTGCACAGTTTTGTGTTTGAGCAAGTTTTCTTTCGCGTGAGACCATTGATTGCCACTTTTTTATACTAAGATTTTACATTTGAAAGGCAAGAAAAGGCCTATGAATCCTTAGGAAGGAAAAGTTTTAAGATGATATTTAAGGTAGAGCAGTACTCTCAATATGATAAATATTTTTTAAATGTTTATATCCCAACAAACCCAATTTTGAATGACTAGCCTTTAAAGTTTTCTCTCAGTTTGTTGATTGCATTAAAATATATAGGTTCAATCCAAGCTGTGAACTACTGTGGTTATTTGGAGTTTTTAAAAACACTGTATGTGTTTAAAACCTAAGTCCATTTGTCACAGCAAACAAAAGATAATATGAGTTCTACTTCTAATCAAAATGTTTCATTTATGCTTAAAAATTTTAATTATTTATGTCCTACAATAATTAGCTTAAGGCAGAGTATAGCTTCAGTTTTCATGATTCTTCAACAAAGTTCTAAGAATAAAAAACTGTGTTTGACAATATTTAACAAACCACAAAATTCGCCATTCATAAAAATATACCAAAATTGCCCAATGATGAAACAAACTATCCTAGAAGATAATGCCCCCCCACCATCCCGACCAAACTTTGATAAACTTTAAAAGTGAAGGAATTGCTGTACACAGAAGCTTGTCTTTAAAATTTAAAAATCTGGATAAGACATTTTAGCTTTATAAAGGGAAAGTGGGGTTCCTGGGTGGCTCAGTTAGGGGTCCAGCTCTTGGTTTAGGCTCTGGTTATGATTTCAGGGTTGTGAGAGTCTGCTTGATATTCTCTCCCTCTCCCTCCCCGCTGCCCCTTCCCTATGTGTGCATGTGCTCTCTCTCTCAAATAGTCTTTAGAAACTGGGGGGGGGGGGGGTAATTCTAAGATTTTTCACCCTAAAATTTTATGGAGGAAAATGATGCAGATAACAGACATGTTGCTGGACCAAACATTTTATATACCTTAGTATGCAACCCAAGCATAGAAAGGATACAAAAGAAACTAACGACAGTAGTTTGTAGAGTAAGAGACTTACCTGACCTGTTCTAAAGGGACTAATTTTAAAAATAAGCAATTTCATCTTAAACGTGAAGTATTTCTCCATTAGGACCATTTGGGGTTGGATTATGGGGGAAAAACTAATCAACTCATTTCTATTATAGGAGAAGACTGATATAGAAGGGACCTTATTTGTATATCGAAGGTAAGCTTTTAAAAAGAATCATACATATGTATTTTTAATCTAATGGTGAACAGTGTTATATAAAGTGGTTCAGCCCCATTTTTGGAACCTTCCTGCCTGACCTTCTTCATCCATTTCTAGCTGTGAGATCTGAACCAAGTTATATCCTTTCTTTGAGCCTTCCTGTGATTCAGAATAAACAGAAGTAGAACTTACTTAGGAACTAGCAAAACTGTGTCGAAATAGAAAACATTTTCTAATAATGAATGAGTCTAAAACAGATGCATTTCTCCCTCCCCCTGTATTAAAAATGTATAAAGAGAGAAAAACATAATACATAAACTAACTCTATAAAATAATGTAGTTGAAAGGTCAGTCTCTCTATTCTGTATTTATTAAATGAGTCATCTTCTTATGACTCTGGTTCTGTCCCCTTTCTGAACCCCTCCCCACAAAAAAAGTTCAGCATTGGGTACAGTGTCTTTAGTGATAGTGTCATCTTCGTTTGAGAGTCCTTTAGAAAACCTGGTTTATTCAGTTGCACACTTTTTATTTTCAACTTTTCTCAGAGTTAATTATCTAAAATGTGATTGATTTGCAAATTGCAGCTTTTGTTTTTGTTAGGCACCTTTTGTGTCCTAACTTGTAACTAACGGAAAAGGATAGTCATAGACTTCCTTGGTCTTAGGCTCTCCCTTAGGTTTTGCTCTGACTACAGCAGGTTCCTTCCCTTGGTTTCTAAGTTTAGAGATTCAGCAGGAATTATTACTGACATCTGGTCCTCCCCACTTATTATTTTTTTGTGTGTGTGTGTGTACTATGAGTTACCATTTAAAGATTGCCTTCTATACTGATGGTAATTAAGAATTTGTCAGATATTCCTCTAAATTTTGGCATGCAACTTTGAGATCTTTTTCTTCCTTTGTATTTAAGTGCTTTGATACTACATAGTAACCATAGGAGCTCATCATCATTCTTTTCTAGGGTGCCTTTACCCTTCACCTACTTCATTATTCTTTATTACCTCTATGGTAATCTCTAGAAACTCATCAGTTCTTGTTAGAATCTTGGTATCTATGATATTAGGAAAATATTTTCCCGGCCTCACTGTTAAACAGTATAGTACATCTCCACTGGTTGTAAAAAATACAAAATTTAGTATAATCAATGATTTGGCTTAATTAAATTCATGGAGGCTTACATAGTATTGATCCTAATAAAAGGAAACCAAAGAACTCTTTGGGAAATGTGAGAACATTTTATGCACCTTGGATAAAGGTGTGCCACAGGGTCAGAATATCGTTTTGCTAGAGACCTTAGTGTACAAAAAGCCTGGATTTGGAGTCCGAAAACCTAAAGCTCAGTTCTGGTCACATTATTTGTGTGACTTTGGACAAAGGCTTTAATCATTCTGAGTTTATTTCCTAATCTGTAGAGTAGGATTCTCAAATCTCCATTGTGTACAGAAAAACGATTGAGAAACTATGAAGTATTACATGCATGTGAAGATCATGTACTAAGTCACTCTGGTATGAGAACAAAGAATCATGTACTGAATCACCCTGATACGAGAATGAAAGATGTTTGTTACCATAGGATTCAAGGCTTTTTCTCTCTTAACTCAGGAGAACTATAGAAAGAGTTATTTGGTGTAAGAAAAAAAATCATGATTATAATGGTGGACAGTCATTATTAAAACCAGGTCTGTACTGTGTTTAAAATAAGCGATATTTTTGTTGAGCCACTGTTTATTAAACATCTGCTAGGTATCTGTCTCGGCTAATATCTGAAAAAAATAAGCCAAAAATCCCAGTTTGCATGGAGTTTACATTCTAGTGGGGAAAGACAAATATGAAAAATAAGTAAATGGTATGGAAAACAAGAGAAGCGAGTTGGAGGTATTGAACTTGAGAGCAGGCTGGGAGCCTGAGAAAGGGTAGTTCTCCAGTGAGTGTCATTGAAAAAGTGACATTTGAGGAAGAGCCTGTTGGGGTTAAGGTAACTCGATTCTGGGCAAGTGGTCCAGGCAGAGGGCTCTAGGTAGAAGCATATAGGGAGAGTGATGAGCTTAGTGTGGCTGGGGCAGAAGCAAGGGGAGAGGCAGACGAGGTGAAGGTGAGGAGGGCGCCTATCAGCCAAGGTGGCATTAGAAAGGGCATCGGCCTCTACTCTGGGGAACTAAGTCCTTAGAAGCTACTGAGAAGAGGAGCGGTATGATCTGACTTAAATTTTTTGTTTGCAATTTTAAGTGCCAACAATATTGTATAATGTGGTAATATCCTTATTCTTTGAAACGGAAATGAAGAAGTAGATAACATTTCTGCAAGTAAAGCAGTGACTGCAGGTGTTTTTCTTCTGTCAAATCTAAGGTCAGCCTCCCCTTACCACGGTTTTACCATCGTGAATCGACTGAATATGCACAATCTGGTTGAACCCGTGAATAAAGACTTGGAATTTCAGCTCCATGAACCATTTCTTCTGTATAGGAATGCAAGCTGTGAGTATATCAGTTTTATTACAGTTCATCTATTTACAGTGGAAATGGAGGGACTTTAGTTTCTGTCATCATGGTATTTTTGGAGTTTCAAGTTAAAATAAAAAGTACAGGAACGCCTGGGTGGCTCAGTGGGTTAAGCGTCTGCCTTCAGCTGAGGTCATGATCCCTGGGTCCTGGGTGGAGGCCTGCGTCAGGCTCCTTGCTCAGCGGGGAGCCTGCTTCCCCCACTGTCTTTTGCTCCCACTGCTTGTGCTTGCTCTCTGTCTCTCTGAGAAATAAAGAAAATCTTTAAGAATATATTTTTATCTGTACTCTTAGGTTAGAAATGAGTCTTAGATCAAATCTTTTAAATTGGGCTTCTAACATTGAAACGCTCTTATATACAGTAACTTGTTATATTGTTTTAGTTAAATATACTCTTCCATATAATAGCAATACATCATATTCCTGTTGTTTGTTTTATGAAAATAAGTTTCATCCTTTGTTTTGGTTGGACACTGAATTATTGGCTGCCCATGCCCCTGAGCAACAGAACTTAGTTTGAGAGATACAAGATGGGGACTGATATATTTATCCACAGAGGAAGTACTATCTTTACCCAGGTTGTGGTATTTTTCAGTCTGTTTATTGAGTGTCTACTGGGTACAAGTTCTGGGCTGAGAGCTGCTTTACCTTAATGTGAATGATACAATAACCTGTGTGGGGCAGGCAAGCAATTAAGGGAGCTGAGACTCAGAGGTGAGTGGCAGGTCCCCAGTTGGAGAGCGAGAATCATAACACTTTTCTCTCCTCCTTAGTTCCAGGGTCCTTTCAGGCATTTTACAGACTCTTAAGAATGGTTGCATGCAGTCCACAAAGCTAGAGTGGCCCTTTCAAAAAGTTAAGATACCAGTGGGGGGAAAAAAAAGATACTAAAAAGTATCCTCAATTACTGTATTTCATTATGGATGTTGAAGGCATGAGTGTTTGAGGACAGAAGAGAGACTGTTTGGCATTGACTGTGGGTGGATCAGACCTAGTTAGGAGTAGAGCAACCATAACTCTTATCCAAGTAGATTGCTGGAGAAATGTTACTTCTCACATAAAAAGGAAAAGTTACTACAAAAAATTAAAAAAGGAAAAGTTACTGTTTGGATTTCACTTGACTAGAAGGTAACTGGTACTGGAGGAATGTCTTTGGTGTAAAATATAAAAAGCTCTGGAAATTATGCCTCTTTTAATTTCCTGAATGAGGAATGGTGAGTTCTGTTTCAGAGCCAGAAGCCCTTTTAAGTATTTAAGTGAAATAGTCTCTTGATTTTTTTCAATGAACTGTTGTCCAGATAATTCCTTTCTGAGATTTTAGTGTCGGGGGGGCATATTAGAAATGCTTTTTAATACCTGTAAGTTCAAAGGGATTTATTTAAATTAATAGTACCTTCAGATGGCAGTTTTGCTTGTGCTGAAATTCTGTTGAAGGGGAAATTCTGCAGAGGAACATAGTTCCAATTTTTTTTTTTAAGGAAAATTTATTTAATTCTGCTCTTTACTACCAGGAAATTAATCTAGCTATTGCTTCTAAGAAAAGTTCGATTATTAATGTAGTCAGGAAAATTATCAGAGACCCATGGATTCACTTACTGTTTAGCATAAACCTGATGTTAATCATAGTATTTAACAAGCAAAGGTTCCTTTGAAGCTGAAAATGCAACCTAACCCAAATATAATTAAATCACGACTAACCAAAATTTAACTTATTGGCCTCTGTTATCTGGAAATATTTCTATAGTCCATGTATGGAAGAAATGAAAGGAAATTATAAGAAAACAAGGTGATATTAGGTTTCATTTTATAAGAATCTAGCAAATATCTTGAGTGTAACCCAGGGTCAGCATAAAAGTGTCAGTTTTCTATAACTTTAACCCCACTATAGTCTCATAGATTAATTTGTTGTCATGATACGACCTGAAATCATCATTTATTATGTTAATCGGAATATTCTTGAGCAGAAAGGTACATTAATACATTTTATTTTAGGAAGATTTTCATTAAGTTAAAACAGAGGTTTCCTTAGTTGAACAGAAAACTCACTTAACAAAGGTTGTCCAGTTTCCTTGTTAATTGAGGCACTGAATCATCTTCTAAGGGGCCGTACAGTTTTTGGCATTGCTAATTAGAAATTCAAGAGCACATCAGCTTGTTTTCAGACTAGAGAAGGGCCTGAAAAGGTCAAGTACAACACTGTGGGTGTATTAGAAACAATCTACAAGAGGAGCTTGGGGAAGGTATTTAAAGGAACAGCTGTATCAGGGAGAAGTGACAAGGCAGCATAAAGTGATTCTGGGAGTGAGGACCTCTCTCGAGTGTGTTTTGTCAACCTAGTCTTAACTGTGGAAAATAGTCTTGTCAGGTCTGCAAGCTACTGAGTTGTTAAGGGATTTGTTCTTTAAACAAAAAGTTAATTAGTGTCTGAGTGTGTATACAGGTAATTATACCTGATTCTATAGCTGCCCTTCTGTCGTTTTCTTGAGGGAAATACCACTAAGACATCTGACCCATTTTGCTCACTGTACCTTCAGATCCAGCTTCTTTCACTCAAATCAATTTTTAGAGTTAATAGAAAATTGAACTATAATTTTTTTTAGTTCTGATTATTCTATTCTGATTTCATTTTTTAGTTTTTATTTATATACCACCTCCCCCAAAGAGAAAGGTAAAATCTTACAGAGAAAATGCTTACACTAGCCAAGGACTTAGGTTTAGTGATTCTTTTGAATATTTTGGGATCAGAGTGTTTTCATACCGATCGAGGGCCTTTTGGCAGCCAGGAGACCCTTATAGGGGTTCAGTGAGGGTTGGGAAGACTGCAGATTCTGTAGTTAATTAAGCAAAAGTGTAGTTCCTAACCCCTTATTTCTGACTTCTGTTGAGGAAACAAGAGTCCCAGAGAAGTTAAGAAACTTGCTCAAGAATCACAAAGATTGTAAGTGACATAGGCAGAATTCAGATAATCTTTGAACCCCATGTTCTCTCTAGTTGGCTGCCACAATAAAATTACTTACTTCGTCAATCCACATTCTAGAGTGATGCTGACCTGTACTGTTGTGCCGTAGTGGAAATGCTGTGTATCAGCCCCATCCCAAAGAGCAGCCACCAGCTATATGTGACTGTTGAGCGCTCAAAGTAGCTCGTGTGACCAAGAAATTTTCTTTTCTTTTTTAGTTTATTTAATCAGTTTGCATTTAAGTAGCTATATGTGGCTAGTGACTACCGTATCGGAACGTGGAAGTCTAAAGCATGAACTCCTCTTACACACACCCTTTTGTTGTGCCATACCTGAATTGAACAAGCACTAGGGGAGCTTTGGATTCAATTTTTATGCCTCTCATTTAGTCATTCGTTTTTTTATAAATTTTAAAATTTATAAATGACTTCTAGATACGAAAGCTGCAGAAGATATCCCTGAGGGGGGCTTTGCCATGGTAACAGTCTTTTGGCATGCAGTTTAATTTTCAGAAAAGAATGCTATTCTAGGCTTTGCCATTTTGGGGCTGTAACCTTGGATAAATCACATAAACCACTGATCTGACCTACTTATTTTAAAAGGGCATCATATATGTGAGGGTATTTTGTCAGGCACTTAAAAATATAAAATATTACAGAGTGTGTCTCCATCTTGGACCCAAGCCAAATGATCTTTGTAGTAAGAAAGTTATAAGGATTTTAATATTGTCCAGGTACTCTTATGACCCAGGCCTGTAGTGTCCTTATTCCCGTCCCTTCTGACTAGCACCATGACAAGCTGGAGACTCTGTTTATCATTATAGGTACTATTTTCAGAATTTTAAAGGGCCATTAGTAGGCAGCATGAGGGACGATAAGGTGAAAATAGATACATGTTAAAAATGAGAAATCTTACAGTGTACAGATTTTTAAAAACTCAATAGCAGGGGTGCCTGGGTGGCTCAGTGGGTTGGGCCTCTGCCTTCGGCTCAGGTCTTGATCTCAGGGTCCTGGGATTGAGCCCCCCGCATCAGGCTCTCTGCTCAGCAGGGAGCATGCTTCCCCCCACTTGCCCCCGCCTGCCTCTCTACCTACTTGTGATCTCTGTCTGCCAAATAAATAAAATCTTAAAAAAAAAACAAAAACCAAACTCTCAAGAGTAGCAGTTCTGATCAGTGGGTCATGGTATTTATTTTGATCAGTATACTGGAATACATAGCACTCTCCCAGCTAAAACTTTGTATTAATGTAATGATGTTTAGTTTGTGGACACTTTTCCCTAAAAAGCATTGATGATAGTTTTAATTTTATCTCTGATTAGTTGAAGAGACATCTTTTTTTGCTCTTTAAACATACGCATTACTATCAGTCTGGTGATCTTCTGTTTCCATTTGTAAAGAAAATCCATTTTACTTACTGCATTATAAAATCATTCTTGGGAAACTCTGAACTTCTAGGACTTCTGTGCCCATCAAAGAAAATATCCTTCAACTCCTGTCTAGCAGTGTCATGACAGGAAGTCTTTCTCCTACAAACATTTAGAAATGCTGTATAAAATACTAAATGCATAGCTTAGTCAAAAAGAGAATAGGGGACATTTCAGCGGGCCAGCATCAGAGTGAAAAGTGAAAGCCGAAGTGAGAAGCTTATAAACCAACACTGGCTGCCAGCTCTTTGTGGCTCCTAGCTATGGAGCTCTCCTTCATAAAAGGATCTCATGACAATCAGATGGAGTCAGGAGACAGGGTCTTGAGCTCTCATGGGTGGAGAAGTGGAGCTGAGACCCCATACATATGTACAGCCTGGCCCCCTGATTAGCTACATATTAATTAATTAGGAAGATACCAGCCCACCAACCAAGAAGGACGAGGCAAGCTTATCTATCTTAGTATGGGCTGTGGGTAAGAGGGAAAATGTCTCCCCTGAATAATTATAAACATGAACTTTCTCAAAGAGATTTGGCGTTCAGGTTATACCATTCACTCAGTATAACCTCTTACCCAGGCCAAAAAATAACA